TATCTTTAAATATCTGAAGCTATATGGAAAGTTTGATGGATCTGCCTAAACTCCTTGAACATGCTCTGTTCTACCTAGACTTGTAACTCTCCAGCCTAGGTTAGGCTGTGCTAAACCAAACAATATTTAGAAAGAGATATAAAACCAACCAGTGCCTCTTCCTCCTGAAGTTTCAGTTGACCTTAAACATTGGCAGGGACATATGAAAATGAAGTTAAAAACCTTTGAATGAGCACAAATATATTAAAGAATATAGCGCAAAATTCTGATGAACTTTTAACATAAGATTGCTAAACAGTATTGAGCTTAAGACTATGGTTCTGAGTCCCTTGGAATACACACTTACTGGCTTTTGCCATGAGGAAGGTATTTTTCAGCGGGAACACTTTAGAAGCATTATGATATACAAGGGAAGTGAATGAGATTGGAAACCAGATCATTTGAATAGCAACTGTATTTGTCTGCCTCCTGTGAGACTGTGTAGTTCATCTATGCAAAGTATTTTGGAGCAAAGGAAGCAAGTGACTTCCATAGTTTTGAAATATTGACTTTCTGGAGGATATGACAGAGGCAACTGAAAGACTGAGGTAGGTGATATCACCAAATGATATCTACAAAAGGTGATATAAATGATATCTACAAAAAATAGCTTTGGGTTCAGAAACTGGGAGTAGAAAAAAATGTTTTCAGCAATTTACTCATTTCAGTTTGGAAGATGCTCAGTAGTTATTGTTTGCTCAAGTATGAGAAAGAGAGTTTGGACCCCCAGAAACCATGTAAGTGCTTCATAGCTCTGGCAACTAGCCTGCAATTCCAGCCTCTGAAGGAGGAGCCAAGGGATTCCTAGAGAAAGTTGTCTAGAGAGAATAGCCATATCAGCAACTTTGAGACCTCGCCTCAGTGAATAATGTGGAAAAATACTGGAGGAGGATTCCCAACATCAGTCTCAGATCTCCACATCAGTGTACACAGATGGCTGTATACATCCATACACATGGACCCCTTCACATGAAAATATGCACCACACACACACAAACCACAAAGAATGGAAAAAGACAAATGATTACTCATTACACCTGGTGGACAGAAAACTGCGTCTTTTCGGTAAAAATTCATGATATTGTAAAAATAATGTACCACACATATTTAATTCTGATCTTTAGTCTTGGGTCTTGGGTGGGGAATGGAAGTTTACCATAACTAATTTTTAGGACCTTAAAGTGGAGCAGCTCCATGACAAGTCCACACAATGCTTGCCTTCTCTGCTTTCCAACTTCTAGTCCTCTACATTCCTTTTTCAGTTGGGAACAAAGAATTGCCCATCTTTCTTTGAGAGGGGAAGTAGTGTTGTGCTTTGAAGGTCAGACCAAATGTCCTGGGTGTTTAGCAAACACTGGATTCTACCTGCTGCTCTATGAATGCTTTCTGCCAGGAAACAGTCAGAGCTGTAGCCAACTGTCTGGCATGTGCATGTGTCCTGTGATTTACTGTCAAACCAGAAACACACAAAATGATGAGCTAAAACCAGTAGAGAAAAGTGTTGTGACATTCAGATGCATATCACATGTGCATAATTGATTCCTTGAAAGGTTAAATACCCTGAGCATATGTACACATAGTAGTATGGCAGTGATGAGTTCCTAATCACTATGGCCCTGGCTTTGTTTTACATAATTCTAAAGTAAACGCCATCTTTCTTCTTTGGGAATTCTGGGATTAATATTTAGAAAGGCATATGTTCCTGAGTAGATAGCAGGATGAAGAAATGACACTTTCCAAACAGAAGGACCATTCATGTGGCCGTACACTAAGCTTTCTAAAGCACAGACAGCCACTACATTCTCTTCGAATTGAAATGCAATTATATATTGAAGACAAGCACTAAATATAAGCAGAGAAGACCAAGGATATTCCTTTATTTTGTTTAGTTTTTGTGGCATATTTGCAAGAAGAATTAGCTACTCAAACACACTATAATCCTAATTGAAACACACAGATCCAATGGCTTGATAATACTTCATTATCTTTTTCTGCTCATTAGAACTCCATAGCACTGGTTTTTCCTTATATTTGCAAACAGTTGCAAAGATACTATGAGAATTAATTTAAAAAGACATGGAGAGCAAAATAATATTGCATATACCTTAAAATGAGGAAAAGGATGATATGTTTGTCCTAGTTGGCTTCAGCTGCCAACGTGACAGCCTAGATTCATCTATTTGAAAACAGAATCCTTAATTGAAGGATTTTCTTTATCAGATTGGCCTATGGGGGACTGTCTTTGTTCACTGTTCATTGATGTCGGAAGGCCAGCTCACTTAAGGCAGCACCATCCCTACCTAAGCATGAGTCAGAAAGTCAACCAGCAAGTTATGGTCTTCTATGGTTTCTGCTTCAGTTCCTGCCTTGATATACCTCAATGACAGATTATGACCTGGAAGTGTAAGCCAAATAAACCCTTTCCTCTCCAAACTGGTTTTGGTCAAAGTGATTTATCACAGCAACAGAAAGGAAACATGAGCAATGTTGCATAAGGGATAATAAATAATAAGCAAGTAGACAATGAAAATAAAGATTATCATCATAAACATTCAGGTGAGTTTCTTATTTCAGTGAGAAAGGAAACATAGCATAATGTGTAAACAAGAAGTTTTTTTATAGTTAACCAAAATTAACAGCTGTTAACTTTTTAAAAAAAATACAATTTCAGATAAGTTTCCAAAATTTTAAAAGTTGTAAAGACAAAAGTCACAAAATACAGTAAAGAGAAAGCACAAATTAAGGGCATTAAGAAGAAATGTGGTTTAGTAATAATAATGAGTGAGCGTAATAACCTTAGGTTGAAGGATTTTTGCTTTACTTTTAAAAAATGTATATACAGATCATATACAAGAAGCACCTGAATCACAAGTCTCTAGGAGAAAAGAAAGACTGAGAAAATTTGGCTAGACAAACACAGCAAAGCTGCTGATGTATACAAGTAGTGGGCAAACTTGGCTTCAAGAGAAAGGATGGTTACCATCCTCCAGCTCCATTCCTGTTTCCTCTTTCGCCCACTGACACTTGTACATATAGGCATATGTTCCACGCCAGTGCTTCTCACATGTCATCTTTGTCTGTTTTTGTCTTATTCCAAGCTAACCATTTTCAAAGCCTGGAATGTTTACATTCCTAACTCTAGTGATAATTTTTAACTATGTACGACTGATTCAGGGCTTAGCATGGCATTAAGTTAATATTTATAGTCATGCATTTCTTTAATTAAATTATAGTATCTTAAAACCAAATCATACACTATTCTTATTCACACATTTCTCCCAAGCTGTCCTTTGTCCTAGTACTTACTGAAGGGTAGAACTGTATCTCCTGGCATTGCCTTCAGAAAGTCAATGAATATGTGTCAGAGATTTATTGAAAAAAATCACTTATAAAGTAACATAAAATGACATTAAAGCTCCTTCAGGATGTTTGACAACTATGCCAAGCTCTGCTTTTATGTTTTCTAAGCAATCACTTAATCAATTTTTAAAATGGAGAGGGGAGCATACCAAGGTCAGAGAGTGAAGCAAAGCCCTTGGACTTAGTGATTCTGTAACTTACCTCCTGTAGACTGAGCTACGAATTCCACACAGCCAGAAGCATGCTATCCTAAGGACAGGGTCACATACAATTTATTCATTCACACCTTGGACAATGTCCAACATTTAATAGTCAATAAATGATACTGTGAAATGTGAGAGAATTCTCAGTCTAGGATAATCTAATTCACTCTGGTGGCTTCCAAAGAATATGTGATTCAAAAGTCTCCAAATGTTGTTATTCAGTTCTGACTCTAAGAGGGAGAGACTGACTTGGGAATGGATGAACCAAAGAAGTCAAGGCAAGATATAAATACTGTCACTATGAATTGTACTCTTAGACCAGGACTGCCTGAAGCAAAGCTGACAGTGGACTGTTCTGGGATGCTTATGAAGAGATGGGGACACAATGGACTGGATGTTCCGAGTTTATCCCACTGGCCATCAAGAAGTTGCCACAGAACCTCCTTTCTATTGGCATGATTGAAAGCTGCCTGCTGCAAACCTCTTTGAAACATGGTGTTTCAAAGTAGAAAATATATAAAGAATTTTTTATAAATCCAATGGGTAGAAAGTAGAGTATATGGTAAAATATAGGTGCACTCCTCTGTGCACAAAGCTACTCTCGCTAGAGACAAGCATAGATTCTAGATGTTGTATTAACATGTGTATGTCTGTGTGTATATGTGTGTAAATATGTACATATATATAAACATTTCATATTTGGTATATGTATGTATGTTTACATATTTATATTTGAGATAATAATTCCATGTAATAGGGTATTATAATGAATCTTACTTTTTAATTTAACTTCCTATTCACAATTCTTTTCACTTTCAGTTTTATTATATTTAAAGCCTCCACTTCAGATACTTATGGTCAGTACACAACATTCGTTTCTTGTGTGAATGAATGAATGTGTTTATAAACTGTTTATACTTTACCCTAAATCCTGGTAATCAATTGGCAAGCATTGGAGATGCCTTGTTTTGAAGCCAAGCTCTAACATGTATCACTTTTTCTTATAAATATGTTGTTCATCCTTCAAAGTTCACCTCTAAAAGTTCCTCTTGTCACAACCTGGAATCACCTCCCCCAGACATGACTCACATTTAAATTCATGCCTTAGGGTCTGCTTTTGAGATCATGCAATCCAAAAAACAATAGGTTCAGAGGTCAACTTGGTCAGGCAGCTCATGGCAGGAGCCACTCTCAGAGGCACACAGAAGGTGAGTGGCTTGGGGCAGGCTGATGGGCACATTGGCCAAGTCAGAGCCTAGCCAGCACTGCTCATTCAAGTCTGCGACTCTTTCAAGGCAGTGCAGAACACAATCTTCAGCACCATGACCTGAGCACATGCCTGAAATTGTGGCCTAAAGAAGAGTTTTAAGTGGCTGAATGTCTTCTTGTTTCCTCCAGATAGCAACTTCATCCTGGCCAATGCCCAAGTGGCAAAGGGGTTCCCCATAGTCTACTGTTCCGATGGCTTCTGTGAGCTGGCTGGGTTTGCACGAACTGAAGTCATGCAGAAGAGCTGCAGTTGCAAGTTTTTGTTTGGTGTGGAGACCAACGAGCAGCTGATGCTTCAGATAGAAAAATCCCTAGAGGAGAAGATAGAGTTCAAAGGAGAAATTATGTTCTACAAGAAGAACGGTGAGTTGCCTTGTTTTGGCACCTGCTGGACAGGGTAAGGTGTCACCATATTTCAGTTCATTACCTGTTCTATGTCCATTCTGGCTGAACAGTAAAATGGTGTTTGGGAGAAAATTCACAGATGACATGGATGATGGCCATGTTTTCATCACTAACAGCATAAAACAAATGTAACTTTATATGAAAATTAAAACTGTGTTATATCAGTGTATGAGCATATACTGGTCAACATTAACATGTTAAATCAAACTCTACTATTTCTACTTTATAGTCATTTTAAAAGTGTACACATGCATAATAGTTGCTAATAAATAGCTTTTATCCAGGGATGATTTTCAAAGCTTCATACTTTTAAGAACTACATGTCAATCTTAGTCAATTGAAGCAGAGTTCCCAGCATTTCCTGTCAGAAAATGAAGTTAATTTAAGGGACATCAGCATGTGCATTCTTTTAATCCTGCTCTCTCCACATAGAGCCTTTCTCACTACTGTCTGAAATTTTAAAGACAAAGTGAGACAGAATAGAGTCAGTTTGCTGGGACTAAAAACTACCAGTGAGGGAAAAAAGAAGCCAAGTGTTTTCTCCTGGGTGCAGTTCTGTGAGTCTCTTCTCAAAGAAAGAGGACCTAGAGCTGGGCCTGGCATCTGTGGTGCTAACATCCCATATGAGAGTAGATGCTCCTAGCTTACGGACCCTGTGAAGACTCTGAAAGTTTACATATGGGAAGGATGCTAAATGGAGGATTAGAAGAGGTCATCATTTCATCTTACTAACAGACGCTCATTAGCTTTAGCTGAGTGTGTAGGTATCAAGTTGGAGAATATATTTCTAGCCTTCTTTGTAATTGGAGAGACATACAACTATGATTTGGGACAATGACACATGAAAAGTACTGACTTACAGAATTTCTATGGAAAAATCCCTTAAGATGAAATTATTTCCCCTGTAATTTCTCTTTTTCTCTTTTCCCTGGTACTATGGACAGAATTATCTTGACAAGAAATCATGTAGTGAAGCCATAACTCCTAATGGGATTGTGTTTTAAGGCATTAAAGAGGCAATTAAGATTTAATGAGGCAATAAAGTGAGACCCTAATCTAATCTGACTCCTGTTCTTATAACAGTGAAAGAGGCAGCAGGGGTGTGGACTCGGTGGGGAATGACCATGTGAGGACACTCCCGCTCAAAGATTCAGGACCTTGTCAGTGTTGACATCTGCAAGTAGTTCTTTGTTCTGGGAGGCTGTCCATGCACTGTGGAGTATCAGCAGCACTGTGGCCTCCAGTCCTCAGTATTTGAGGGCACTGAAGTCAATGATGGTGGAAAAAAACCCAGAAAATTCACCCACCTTTAGAAGACACTTGTCCTTGGAGGGCATTCCCTGATCATGCGGCTTTAGGACACACAGTCATCATGACCTTTTGGAGAGCACCCCTCTAGGACAAGATGCCCCAGTTCTTTGGCACTAGAACCATAGTTCAGACCATTGTGTTTTTTCAGTGACAATAGAGAATGCCTAAATAGCAAATATGATCAAATGAAAGGATTCTAGCTCTGTGTAATTATACCACAGTGAGTGAAAAGAAGCCTGAGAGAAAAGAACATGGGTAAGTCACTGAGGCTGTAGACTGGCAGAGCACTGATAAAGCTGTCATCCTGTGGAACAAAGTGGGAAAGATATCCTTTGTGCAAAATACCCGCTGACTACAGACTCTTCCTTCGTCGGGATGGTGCCTTGTGTAGGTCATTCCACATCCAGATAGAGCTTTTGTTTTTACGCTTCTTCAAAATTTCCACTATGCTTCTACTGAGAAAGACTTGGGCCAAGGAACATAATGTAGGGGAAGAGGAAAGGGTGGAGGCTTTGGAGGTGGTATTGTCTAAAGTAGGAAGCACATTACAGTGGCACTATCTAAAATATCCGGAAGAATTTCCTGAGCCCATTTTCTTAAGTTTGCCTATAGCCTTGGACACGTGAGTAGAAATCATTCATGGCTCCAATTCTCTTTAAGCAATCACCCCAGGGAATTGTCTGACATTCTGAGCAACAAATTGATCAAGTTATAAGCAATTGGGATTGTCATCTACACTGTGCTGCATCAGAGGCCTTCATGTGAGCATCTGTTTCTGCATGCAGCTGGGACTCTGAAAGTATGTACATTAGTGACTGTCCCATTCCCAGAGCTTAGAGCCTGGAGTCTTGAGGAACATTTGTCAGCTGGTAGTTCCTTAATGAATGCCCATGGGAAGAAATGGAAATTGATTATTAGGGGGATTTATGGATACATGAAGATATGTCTGCATTTCACATTTTTTAAAAAAATGCTCATGACATAAAGGGTCTTCCTTTTCTCCCTCAAGGAGCATGTTCCCCTTAATAAGCTCTGGAAATACCTCCTTCCTGGCAGCTGTCGGCCTATTGACTCTTGACTGATCAACTGCCCCACTAGGCATTTATAACTGAGTTTTGTGGCTGGGGATGCTCCCCAGATGTCCTCACTGTGTTCTGTCTTGTAGGCTCTATAAAGTTTGTGTAGTCTTCCTTCCTCCTTCATGAGGACACTGGTCAAAGCAGTCAGTGTTTATCCTCTGCTATCTTCTGCCCTTCCAGTGGTAAAGTAACTGATTTATGCACCTCACCCCTCACTCAAAAATAATGAAGACTTTGAAAAAACAGACTTGTTCATTCTTTCATGCTATGGCATTTTCTAAAAAAATAGGGTGTGTCCTCCATCTTGGTACAATGTCAGCCTGGCTAGTAGCTTCCCTCCAGTCCCACTGAGACAAGGACAAAGGCGACTTCAGTGTTCAATCTTTCCAAGAAGCTGTCCAACCAGTGTAGCATGGTATAGGTGAGACCATCTCTGTCTCTTCCTCAAAATCCCTCAACCCAAGGACAGCAAGCTCAGACATGTTCAGCCTTAGATACTTTGCCCCATTCTAGCTGCTTTGTTATATTTCACAGGCAGTGATTTGTGCTTTCTGTATAGTACAGAAGGTCCTAATTGAAGCCACCCATCACAGCCTCTACAGTGCATCAAAATGTATCTTCTCTCTAAAGAAGCTACCTTCCACAGATCCAATAACATCACTTGCCTTCCTGGGGAAAAGAAAAGCATGGTAGCCAGAAATATAAAAGGTGTCTTAGGACAAAGATTTAAGGAAGAAATGAAAATTGTATATTGTAACTTTATCAAAATCTAACTTTCTAACTTTTTTTATCTAACTAACTTTCTTAGTGCATAAATCTGTTCTGGATCCCGTTCCACTGAGTACTGAAAAAAAACTGAGTCTGAAGGAGGATGAGTTAATTGCTTTATAGTTCTTGAACTTACAAGTCCAAGAACCAGTTATCTAAAGTCTTGGGTCCTTCTGAGGACTGTGAGAAGGTGTCCGTTCTTCATGTCTACCTGCTTCGGTGGTTCTGTGGTAATCTTTGGCATTGGTTGGCTGGAGGAAGCACCACCCGTACCTCTTTCCTCATCCTTGCACAGGGTTTACCTAGCATGAGTACCTACAACCCAATTCCCCCTTTTAAATTTGTTATTATCTTAATTAAACTTATTTATTTGCTTTTTTTAATCATATGTATGTTCATGAGCCATGGCACACATGTGTAAATTCCAGGACAACTTGTTGAAGTCATTCTTTCTTTCTACCATGTGGGCCCTAGATATCTAGCTCTGGTTGAAAGATTGAGCTATCTCACTGGCCCAAGGATTGCCTTTTTATGAGGAAGGACCCTAGTCATTTTGTATTATATCCTAGCTTGAAGATTTCCTTTAACTTGATTATCTTTCTAAATACTCTATCTCCAAATTTGGTTATATAATAGGTACTGGGAAATGGACTTTGATACATACTTTTTTGGATGGGAAGATATTAACCTAAAGTACCTAGTCAAATTCACATTAGGTTAGGAGTTAAGTCACCCACTTATGATAATAAATTAGTAAATAAAAAACCTATTACATAGAAGCAATTCACTCCAAAGTCCTTGCTCTTAAATGCCTGTGTTATGTGCTAAATTGGAGATGGTGCCTCTTTCCAGGGTGCTTAACAAATTTCTGATGAATTTTCAATGTCTTAAATCATATTCAACAAGCCTCTCAGATCTTCCAGCAGTAAAATGTTTGTTTCTAATCACCTAGAAGCACAAAGTGGTGGTTTCTCACTGAATTTCCAAGAATATAAACTATCCCGTAAGAGACAAGACTGAATTTCATTTTGTTCAGATTGTCATCATTTTAGAACATCCACTGACCTTGGGTGGAATATCACTGACTCACAGCACTACCACTGATGCAGCATGCCCACCTGGGTGGAACATCACTGACTCACTGCACCTGCCACTATGCATGGTGACAGGTACAGTGATATTGTTTATAATATTATAAAACTAATGTATGTAGGTAGGCAAGTTTTATTGTTAGGGTAATTTTCTTACTCTCCCTTCTCTTCCTCTTCCCCCTCCTCCCCCTCTCCCTCCTCTTCCTCCCTTTCCTTCCTTTCCCTTCCTCCTCTTCTTCCTCTTCTTCCTCTTCCTTCCTCCCTCCTTCCCTCTCCATCCACATTTTGCTTCAATTCCTGGCTCTGTGTTTTGTTCCAACCTACTTTGTGTCTCTTTTCATGGCAGTACCATATTGCTTTGCATGCTCTGGTTTTTCAGTATTGCATTAAACTAGATGGAATGATGCCTGCAACATTTCAACATTATTGAGCCTTTGCTTTTCATAATTACCTTAACAGTTTTAGCTCTTTCATGTTACTATCTAATTTTTAAGATTGGCTTTCTCATCTCTTTGAAAAATGCCATTGGGATGTCTATAGTGATTGCATCAGACATATTGCATTTCAAGAAATGGGCACTTCAACAATGTTGATTCTCCAGAGTTATACACATGGGATGTGTTTTTGTTAATTTGTATCCTCTTCAGTTTCTTTTACTGATGTCTTAAAGTTTTCAGTGTCTCTCTGTTTCATTACTTTTCTTCCTCCT